ACCTTTTCCCATGCCCAAACACTCCCCACTGTCAGGGGATGGACCCCGGGTCCCCATGACCCCTCTCTATGGCCCACAGGCTAACCTGTAACAGCAGCCCATCTCAGGGCATAACACTACTGTGGGTAAGAAAGTGAGAAGAAGGTTAACTTCTCACTTTCCCACAGTGGCCCCAATATGGCGAAAACTTCCGGGGATACCCGGAAGTCACATGAGGTGGGATCCGGGGTCGGATCATGCGGCGCACGGAGTGTGCGGCGTGGGAAGTGCGCGGGAAGTGGAGCGGGTCCGGATGCGGGTCCGGGTCCGGGCTAAGTCAGGGTATGTGCCCTGACACCCACACACTCCGCTCGCTGCCCGTCACCGTCCAACCACTCCCTGCCACGTCTCAACATCTCCTTCCCCAATTGTCATTAAACAACTCAGTAGTGCAGAGCGCTGCGACCCCTTGTTCCACGTTTCACCACACCTGGTTATCTCGTGGCGAAGGTCACATTGACTTTCGCTGTCTTAACCACGTGCCTCTTTGTTTGTTTTCCTTCTTCTTTCTTCTGCCCGCAATCTCCATGAGATCTGGCAACTTACTTTCTATTCAGTTCCCTAGCACTTATATACAGCCTGTAACTATTGCTTATACAGTAGTTCGAAATCAACTAGAAATTCCCCCCTAAGCTTACCTCTGTTCCCCGTAAGACCTCCACCTCCTGAAGTACCGGGACCGCATCGAGAACGAGGCGCAATGCTCCTCCCTGAGTTGTTGAAGCCGAAATCCCGGCCCACTCGCCTAAGTAACCTCGGCCTCGAGATCAGTGAGGTTGATCCTCACTAAAGCTCGGTTGTGAGTAGGACACCTGTATCGTTAGTGGCCAATGTTCGGTCACTGACGGCTATTATTGGCGAAGCTTAGCACGGTTCTGACAGGCTTCTTGATCACCCCCTTGTCTACTTGATAAAGAAGTCGACTTCACGATTATTTGTGATGGACTTCAACTGTTTCCTCCTCTTCCTGTGTGCCTGTCTTCATGCGCGTTTTGTTTCTTATGCTCTCCAGCCACTGTGCCACCTCAACCTCACATCCACAAAGAGAATCGAGAGCTCAAGCATCTGCTCAGCAGGGTGTTGTTTGGCCCCCCTCTGTCAGGGCACACCCACCTGACCCCGTGCCGCACCCTGCGCCATACTGCACTACTCCGCTTCCCCTGCTATCACTCTCCATCCCTCCTTTCTGTCAGGGACGCGTCCGGGGTCGAGAGGGCCCGGGGGTAATGCCCGGCACTGAGGCCGTCGCGAGGTGTGGAGCGGGCGTGCGTACTGGCGGGCCTGATCCGGGACAGTGGTCCCTGGCCACTCAGACTGAAGTGGAGAATGTGTTATTATTATTAAAGAGGAAAACTATACTACTTACCTGAAGTGGAGAATGTGAGAAGAAGGTTACTTCTTCGGTTCCCACTTCAGGTACATTTATGTACATGCGGCTTGAGTCACATGACAGGTGCCACGTCATCCTCGGAGGCAGCCGCAGGCATCCGGGTGTCCCTGTGGGGGATCCCGAGAGCGTCCGCTACATGCGCGCGTGCTGGGCACAGCGGGAAGCCGTCCGGGGTGTGTGGGCCGGACGGGTCAATAGTACATCGATACAAGGGAAGGTGGTCCATGTAGATAGAAAGAAATAAACAGGAAGAGGAGGATGAGAAGAATGAAATAAAGAAAGGGGAAAGAAAAGGGAAAAGAGGGGGGAGGAGAGGGAGGAAGGAGGGGGGAGGGGGATAGACAGCGGGGAGTGGGTGTGGTGTGGCCGGGTGGGCCCGGGTGGGCCCGGGTCAGGCGGGTGTGCCCTGACACTTTCCCATTTTCCCCCTTTCTCTCTATTTCTATTCTACAGTCGATTTCCCTTTCTCCATGTACCACTACATACCTAACCCCACCCCCCTGATCGCCACACGCGCCGCGCACACTCCCACCTACTGAGCAGCCACCTCCGGGATCTCCCACAGAGATACCCAGGGAGGTGCGGCTGTGCGCGGAGATGACGTGGCTTCCTCCACGTGACCCTAGCCGCATGTATATAATAGTGCCTGGGGTGGGAACAGAAGAAGCAGCCTTCTTCTCAACTTCCCACTTCAGACTAAGTGGTCAGGGACGCTCACCCCACGACGGGATCGCTGCTATGCATAGCCGGTATTCATCCCACCGAGTCCCGCATGCCGGGACCTCACCACTCTCGGAGCTGTCCCTGACACCCTCTGGGCTCGGCCCTGACCAGGGCCCATGCATAGTTACCTGCAAAGGTTGGGGTTCTCACATGGAACTGCTTATTCCTTCTCGCATCTGATCTGGGCTGCACTCACCATTAATCACAGAGAAGAAAAATTTGTCACCAGAGTCAGGCAACATTGAGGACACTATCCACCGGGTGCTCTTACCGAAGATGGGCCTGGCGAGAATTATCCTGAACACTGGGTCAAGAGCCTTCCCCCACACCAAGTATCTGGCCAAGATCCCACCAGGTTCCCATTTCCTTGCCTCCATCGCCTTCCTGACTCCCTTTCATACCAGGAAACAATTGAAATGCACAAAAGCAGCCAGAATTTGAGAGCTGAACACGCGAGTCCAACCTGCTGATGTGCTCGGACCATCTCAGAAGACATGTGGGAGTTGGAATTCTCTGCCGCTTGTAGGTTTGCGTCCCTGTTGTTTTACTCTCAATTTCTTCTGCATTCTTACCAGGATATGCGGTCCGTGCTGTCTTTCTTCATCAGGATTGAACCATATCAAATTGACGCTCATATTCAACCCCCACTCGCCTCTTGCTTACTGCTCAAATCAAGCTCGATTTCTCATTCACAATCACTGCTGTTTCTTGTAATGTAACCTGGTAGAAGCAATGTCTTTTTACTGTATATTACCATACTAATAGCCATAAATAACCATGGATTGTAAGGTATTTTATCATTGACAATCATCATAAATTACAAGACCGGTGAGGTAAAATACCAAATACGACCATTGTAAAGTGACCGTTTACCATCATTGAGATGGTAGAAAACTGTGAAAAAGTAGGTCTTTTACCCTCATTAGTATGGTAATGGGGACTCGGTAATGTCGGAAAAAGTTCAAATCCGCACCAATACATTGCAATGTGATGCAATGACCAAAACGGGTATGGGGCAATGCAACGGTTGCATCAAACACTTAAACGTTGCAACGGCAGAGGCCGGGGCCCAATACATTGCAACGTGACCCACAGCATTGCAATACATTGGTTCCATTGCAACACGGCCTATTGGGTTAAATACATTACAACACTAGGGGTTGTATTGCGGTAAAAAGTAATTTATTATATCGCATTGTTGTACTTGGGACTTGAACACCGGACCTTGGAGTTACCATGGGAGCGTTAGGCCGACATACAATGTATTACACAATATACTATGACTACAAGAATACATACATTACCGCTTGGCCAGCGAGCCCTTACTGATTCAGGGTCAACCTTAGGTTTCTTATATACAGCTAGAGACATCGGAGAGACTCCAAACCAGGCTCATAGAGTGAATCCGCTGTTCTACTTTCAGCATTATCCTCCTCCATTCCTGTTTCGCCTTTCATTGTGTTTACTGGGTCGCTTCCTTATCAGAGAGTGTCACTGTTCTCACGTTATCTCATTCCTGTTTTCCCTCCATCTGTCGAAATTGTATCCAGTGCAACTACTGGACTTATCCGGAGCTCCAATTCAAATGGCTTCAAATCCAGGTCACGTGGCAAGGACATAAAATCATGGACAAGCCTGGTATCGAACCCAGGACCTCTAGCGTGCATCCATACACTACTCGCCCTTGAGCCATGCCGGTATAGGCTGTTAAACTCTATACTATTGGGAACATATTATATTCTCCAACACCATCTCCCCACTTGCCTCAACCACAAAACCCGATCAATCCTTTGTGCAACTTAGTATCACACTTGCACAATCTGTAATTGTGCCTATCCCTTCACCACCATCCAACAATCAACATCTTATCGATCAACCCATGCAACGCACCCCCACCCTGCACGACCTAGATCTCGCCCAAAATCCGTACCTGCTCACTTGCAGGCGAGGTGGATCAGAGCGCCAGGCGACTTCAACGCCACGGAGAGGGGTTGTTCAGTGGTATTAGGTGCATAACATTCAGTATGTTGTGAAATGGCTCACCTGGGTATGACATGGGGATGTTGGGTGTCATATTGCAGGTGTTGCCTTGACATTGCTGTACATTGTGCTGACCAATGTTGAATCCCCACCGCTGTCTCATCACTCCCCACTCCATACCCACTGTATCATAATGCCCCGGCCTTCCTGGAACCAACCCAACCAGCATGGGCACCTTCCAACTACCACTGCAACACCACCCACACCCACCAAATCACGGCCATTGCCATCACCTCCGGGGTCTTCAACTATTGCACACCATCACCATCGGCAATTTGGTGTCGGGCCGAACTGTTGCAAACTCCCCCTGTCCGGCATCCTACCTCATATCTGCAAGCCATTTTCCTCCCACCACTTCCATCAAGTTGATTGGGCTTGTGTGACGTTTAGGTTGGGTGGGGCATCTTCAGTGCCATTTGTCGCACATTCCATTTCCCATTGCTGCATCCATCGGCACTGTACCACATATTACTATTTCACTCAATGTACGGTAGTATTAGATGTGAGCAATCTAATTTTGGCTATCTATCCACCCATAAAACAACCACAGCACTGTTGTACAATCTGATACTGTGCTGATGGACCGATTGTGTGTACACACGTGGGAATATTACCGGTTATATTCATACACACCGATTACCTGTGCCCTGTGATATTCTTGCATATTCTATGATCATGTGATCCTATCGGTGTATTGTTTGGTTTCCTAAATACCGTGCTCTTCATGTATATAGCTGAGACTTGCTGGGGATGTTCCTTTCCCCCAGCCTTAATCACAACTAGGTTCATTAGCACAAGCACTACTGCTATGTCTGCCTCACTAAGCTCTACTGCCTTCCAATCCCGTGGCTTCCAGGCACCATCTAGTTCTACACCAGTGCAACCACCTACTGTGTCTGATCTGCCCATCAACACTGATGTGCATGGTGAAGCTGATGACAGTGAAGTTGCTGGAGACACCAACAACAATGGCACTGATAGTGATGACCCTACCCCTGGTGATGCCTCTACTGTCAAAAGCATTGAGACTTCGATCACAAAATATGCAGCCCTTTATGCCATTTTCCATTCTCCTTTTTTATCGAAAGTTTCCCTTCTGGTGGAACTCAGCAGTGATTTCCACTCATGGGCACCAACAGAAATGTTTTCATCTGTTGAAAATTTCAATCAATTCTGTGTCCACAAAATTCTCACAATGAAATATCCTATCTTAACAAATGAGCTCCGCACTCATTCTGGAGCTATGCCTTGGTCAGCAAAGGTATGTACTCATGTGCTAGTGATTCTCCTTGTGGCTTTCACTAATTAGGCATGTCTGGTACAACTAGTTTGTTTCAGCTGTTGGGGCACAAAGGCGGCAAATGATGAGCTGCTTGTGGCAATCAAGTTTTCAACTGTTTGGCATGGACCTAAGCATACCAGTGCTGAAGTTGGGTCATGGCCCAACTGTGGAACAACTTCAAGAATATTTGGGAGTAATCCCTGATTCTACCAACCCCTTCGACCACTTGCCTTTGTTCTTGTTCCCAGACAATGACTGATCTCATCATCAACATGTGTTTCGCTCACAGGTCCTTGCAGCTGTAAGTATTTCACTTGTGGGCTATACATATTATTCTACTCACAGTGCTACAACAAGGGGATAATTGTCATTATTTTTGGTCCTTCTGCACTCAATGGCCCTGTTTCTTCCATCCCCTTTCCAGGATCCCCTGAGCTTGAGAATTGGGAGCCTGCAGAATTATATGCATCACAAAGGGCACTAGGGAGCATGTATGAGGTAACTGAAATAACCCCTGGCACTTTGGCCATTGTTTCAATGCTGGTATGCCATAAGTAGAATTCTGCTTGAGAATCTTGTGCTGACCAATTATATCTAAACAACAGGTTTATTTCATTTTGTCTGGTGACACTGAGATGGTTTCTGGTTCTGGCAAGCCCAGTGCCACCAACTATGTTGATATCCTTCTCAACTTCTATCATTTTATCCTTACCCTACTTCACCAAGAGAAAACGACCACAGTCCAACCAATGCATAAGACCATGGATTGGTACAAGCATTTCTTGTTTGGTCCTCCTGCAGGAGCAGGAGATGCACATGCATCAGGACGAGCTGGAAGTCTTTCTTTGGGCCTGAGTGCTCTTCTTGAAGAAATGGAGCTTAGTGGCAGTAATGTGAGTCTTCCATCAGATTTGCAGGAATTGATGCAGGCTAGAGTTCCACACTGTGTGAGTACTAAAAATTTACCATAGGAAGCAGATCCAGTGTCACTCAATGTTAATGTTTCCTCTGAAATGTCTCATGTGTTCAGCCAATTTTCCCTTATATATTTTGGTACTGACAATTTTGCTGAAGGTCCAGAACCAGATGTACAGACTGAAGTGGTGGCTACCCCAGTCAGCCTGGATGAGGGGAGGGAGACAAGGTATGGGCACAGAGGCCGGGCCCACACAGGTGACACTTCTGGGAATGACAGTTCTCGAGAAGTTAGTCGTGGAAGGAGAGGCCAGAGAGGTGGAGCCCAGGGTAGCAGCAGTCACAGAGGTCGTGGAAGTCATGGAGGCAACAGCACTACACATGGTGATGAATAGGTACTGTCAATGTACAACTCAAATTCTTTGTCTGCATGTAATGTTAGTCTCTATGTGTAACATCTTGTCAGGGACAGCTCTGAAAGCGGCAAAGTCCTGGTGCTGGGGACTTGGTGGGACGAGAAATGGCTGTGCATAGTGGTGGTCCTGTTGTGGGGTGAGTGTCCCTGACCACTTAGTCTGAAGTGTGAAAGTGAGAAGAAGCCTATTTCCTCTTCCTATATATATCCTGTATGATACATTATAGTACTTTAGCTCTAATATCGATTTGACCATGACCCCCAAGTCCTGACCCCAGCAAGGCAACCCCAGTGAGTCTGAAATGAGGGCCAAGAGACAGCTAGGGGGCACAGCACTCCTTTAGAGTCGCTGAGGCCAAATGCCCTACCCTTGGGCCTTGTTCATGGCATCATGGCCATCGCGGCCTATAGCAGCCTGCAATGGTGACCTTCGGTGCCAACCCTGGACCAGCATCTAACACTAAGGTACAATGGTTTCTAAACTACAGGTATATATAGAGGACTTTACACAAAGTCCAAAAGGTACTGAAAGGTTCTGAAAGGTGCCAAGGGATAACCTGAACAGGGAACCCAGGTGTCAGGTCAAGGAGGGCAGAGAAGAAGGCCAAGGAATGAATGGGAACAAGAAATGGGTAACTGTCAGGGCTCGGTCTTCGATCAGGGACAGCCTGACCTCAGGCCTAGGTGTGTGCGATGTTCCGGGTGGTTGGGCGCTAGACCCTGTCCTCAGCTCCTCAAACTCACTGAAGGGACTAAGCAGGGATTGAGTTGTCATGTATTACAGAGGGTAACTACAACTTGCCTAAGCGGGGATTGAGTTGAGAAGAAGGGTAAGTTTCCCTATTCCCTGCTTGGCTACTATAAAAAGGAAGTGTACTGTACAGTTCATAACGTGACTCCAGGTAGAAGCCGAGCATGTTCCCGCGACTCGGAAAAGGTGTCACGTGGGTTAAGGCGAGTTGCTCGCCTTGACCCACGTGATTTTTCCTGCGGGCTCACATGCGGGCTGAAGTTGTGAGAGATATGTAGGGATGGGGAGGTCTGGGAAGTGGGGGAAGTCTGGGAAGGTGGTTCTGGGGCATGGTTGGGTGCCCTGACAGCAGGGTCAGGGGCCGATCCCTGACATCACCCCCCCTCTATGCCACTTCGCCTCGAAGTGGCTGTGGTCCATGGTTGGGGGGTTTCCTTTGTCCTCCTTGGTCTGGGGGCTTCCGGGTGGGCCTGGTGGAATTCTTTCAGGAGGTCTGGGGAGTTCTCCAGGTTCTCTCTGGGGAGCCATTCATTTTCTGAGTTTGGCCAGCCAGAGAATTTGACGAAGTACCAGAGCCATCCATACCGGTACCTGGAATCCAGGATTTTCTCCACTTCATACTCCTCTTCTCCATTCACGATGTCCGGGCCAGGGAGCGGGTCTGCATGGTGTTCAGAGATTCTGTCTGGGGCGTAGGGGCGGGTGTTTGAGACCGAGACTACCAGGTGAATTCCTCTTTGATGGGCTGTAAGCTGTAGCTTTACTGCTGCTGGGGATACCACCTTGACGATCTGGAAGGGGCCGATCCATCTGTGGTCAAGCTTCTTGGTTGGTCGGTCTGTCGTGTAGTTTTGAGTGTTGAGCCAGACTTTGTCCCCAACTTGGTAGACTGGTGCTGCCTTCCAGTTCCTGTCATAGTACCGTGCCATCTCTTCTGCTGCGTGCTCTAGTGCTGCCTTTGCCTCCTCTTGCATCTTCATCATCCGAGAGGCAAAGTCATTAGCCCCTTCAACTTCAGACATGCGGGTCGGTTCGGTCCCCATGCGTGGGTGTTGCCCGGAGTCAAGCTCGAAGGGGGTGCGTGTCAGGGCACACCCGCCTGACCTGGGTCCACCCGGACCCACCCGACCACACCACACCTGCTCCCCGCTGTCCAACCCTCTCCCTCCTCCTTCCTCTGTCTCTCCTCCCCTTTCCTTTCTCTCTTTCTTCCCCTTTCTTTATCCCATTCCTCTCATCTTCCTTTTCTTGTTTATTTCCTTCTATCTACACGGACCACCTTCCTTTGTATCAATGTACTATTGACCCGTCCGGCCCACACACCCCGGACGGCTCCCCGCTGTGCCCAGCACGCGCTGTAGGAGAAATCATATTCAAAGAATAAAACAATGATCTATCAGAATAGTCAACGAACAGGTGACAAGTTCAGACGTTTAACAGATCTCATGATCTTTATGAGACTGGACAGACATTAGAAGATCATTATAAAATATCTACACCCATGTAGTATGAGATTTAATCTACTACAATCATGCCTAGAACTTGACATAGGTGTAATATTCAAAGAATATATCCCTACAACAAGAAAATAGCACATAGACGGCAGAATAAGAAGGAACATTGGGAAAGGAATGTAAATATCTCGGGAACCAGTAAACTTTTGACTGTAATCTTTTTACCATCTGGAAGGACTGTTTCTTAACTTTATCCACGGTTTTGTTTCATTCTAAAAGCTTCAAAACTGACGGAGATATCGCTCAAACGGCGAAACACCTTATAATTCATATATATTTATTTGCTAATTCTTACAAAAGGTAATGTGACTCAAGGGAAATATATTGGCGCCCGGAAGTCTGGCGGACCGAATACCATATGATAGAGTATTCCCCGGCGCGGGCGGACAGTTTTTGATCGCATCAGAAGAGGAGAAAATGCTAAAAAACCGGATCTTGTATATTTTCCCATGATTCATCAAAACTTTTTGATTTTAAGCCCAAATAAATCGGAACAAAGGAATGATTGATGATCTGGATCTCGGATCATAAGCATGAAGTGATTCAGAAGTCCGCGGATCAGTTAATTAATTGGGAAGGCTCTAGAACATTAGTAATGATGTGGCTTCACAAAAAGGGGTCAATTAGAGAACAGTCTAGAAAGTTCCTTTATAGCCGAGTCATTTCTAAAGATAACCGTTCGTAATTAAGGCGGTGTAGAGCATAGCTTCAGCGCTACAAGATCCCGCTGAGATCGGCCCAAAAGACAAAGAAATGAATTACTTATTGCTGAGTCATGTCCTAAGTCCATTATTAAGCTTACACAGCCCAAGCCCCTATATCATTCTAGAACTATCTATAATACAAATGTAGCACATGTAACTAGTGCGAGGCGTGGGAGTAGAGAGGCCTCTGAAAAGCATAAAAGGCCACCGCTTCTGCCCCCTCTCAAACCTCAGGTAGAAATAAAAGTTTAATTCTCCTCACCAGTGGTTGGTTCGTTTGCTCCAAAAGATAAAAGCAAATATTAGTTGTTAGCTAATATAAAACTAACACGTCACTCTAAGCGTGAGTTAGGGTCAGTTAGACACAGCTGAACAAAAGTGTCATAGTGAGAATTAGTGAGAATTTGGTGGAGGGACTTCTTAATTGAATAATCTCTCAGTAATATTTGGTTATCACACCACAGGAGAAAAGTGAGCGATCCTGAACCTGCTAGATAACTAGCACGCACTCTAAGCGATAGAAAGAGCAGTTTGGTCACTCCTGTATTGAGTAACATTTATTGTGGAATTATTTTATTAGTAGTTTTCCTTCAGTAAATTATCAGGAAAATCACATCCTACTGAAAAGTGGTATATCTAGGTGTAATATTGACTAGAAATCATAGTAAAGTCAATATAGAATTTTATCCATAGACGATCTATACGTCAGGTGAGATTGTTGGGGGGTGTTTATTGTTGTTTAGACAGTGAACAATTATATATTTGGCAACCAAAACACGGTCAGTACGCAAATCAGCACAAACTCTAATATCGTTATTGGACGTAGGAAACTGGTTACATAAGGTGATCCAGCTCCACTCCTTCAGCGCGCATGCAGCGGACGCTCTCGGGATCCCCCGCGGGGACACCCAGATGCCTGCGGCTGCCTCCGAGGGTGACGTGGCACTCGTCATGTGACTCAAGCCGCATGTACATAAATGTACCTGAAGTGGGAACCGAAGAAGTAACCTTCTTCTCACATTCTCCACTTCAGGTAAGTAGTATAGTTTTCCCTTTTAATAACAATAACACATTCTCCACTTCAGTCTAAGTGGCCAGGGACTGCTGTCCCTCCCCGGACCCGCCAGCACGCACACCCGGTTTGCACCCCGTGAGGGCCCTTCTGCCGGGCGATACATCCGGACCCCCTCTACCCCGGACGCGTCCCTGACAGTGCGGTGGGTGGAAGAGTGGATGCGGTTGTTATAGGCGAACTCGGCAAGCGGCAGCCAGTCAGCCCAGTTGTCTTGCCTGTGGTTGACGAACACCCGGAGGTAGGTTTCTATTTCCTGGTTGACACGCTCCGTCTGGCCATCAGTCTGTGGGTGGTAGGCTGTTGAAGGGGCGAGCTTGATCCCTAAGAGGTCTGCTAGCTCCCTGGAGAAGCGGGAGACAAATGCACTGCCTCGGTCGCTGAGCACTTCCTCTGGGAGGCCATGATGCCTCCAGATGTGTTCGAGGAAGAGCCGGGCCACGCCTGCTGAGTCTACCGTAGTGACTGTGGGGATTGCGTGAATGCGCTTTGAAAGTCGGTCTACCACTACCAGGATTGCGTTGTACCCCTTGGAGTCTGGGAGTTCTCCAATGGTGTCTACTGAAATCACCTGCCACCTGCGGGTAGGGACCTTGTTTGGGATGAGCTTCCCGACTTTCCGAGATGGGAATGTCTTCACTCTGTTGCAGGTGTCGCACCCTGAGATGTACTGTGCAACATACTGTGCCATCTGGGGCCACCAGTAGTTTCGGGAGACGAGCTCCACAGTCTTCCACCGCCCAGGGTGGCCTGTTGCCACCGAGTCATGGTGGAGTTGTACCAGGTCATGGCGGAGCTGTGGGTCTTTCGGGACATACACCCGGCCCCGGTGGAGGATCAGTTCCCCTTCCTTCTCCCATTCATCCGAGTGTAGGGTCCCCCTTTCCAGCTCTCTCATTGCCTTTACCACTCCCTTGTCATGCTCCTTCCCCCTGCGTATCCTGTCCAGGATGTCTGCCTCTTCTCCCTCCACTGTGACCCCCTCCATAGCTCTGACTTCAAACCAGCCTGGGTGTAGGAGGGTCATGTCCGTGTTGTCGTCCTTCCCTTTCGGGTGGTCTGGCCGACATGAGAGGGCATTGGGCTTCCCCATGAGTTTCCCTGGTTTAT